GATGCCCATCCAGGCTGCAGACAGTGGTCACAGGTGGGCTCCTGATTCTTGTTTCATTACCAGTGCACAGGCCAGAGGAAAACCATGCGTGCGTAACTGCAAGTGTGGCCGTCTGGGTCCACAGAGCTGCTCGGGGCCTTTCAGAGGCCACCTTTGCCATCTGCACCTCTCCACGTGCGGCTTGAGCCCCGGGGGTTCTGTCGACCTTGTGCTCGGCAGTAGCTGTGCAGCATGGAGCTGCCAGCACGCCAGAGCGGAGGCGTGCTTGCAGGAGCTTGTTGGAGGCTGCTTAGCGTCTGGCTCCCCGGTCCCCCATTCAGCCTCCATGCCCTGGTAAGAGTATATTATTTTCTTAGCTCAAATTGCCGTTTCCAAGTCATTATTTCTCTACGATGAGAAAACAATATTGGGTCTTATGTAATATCAACCTCAATGAATCTGGAAGTGATCATGGAATGGGTGGATTTTTTTTCCTCCTTAAAAAAGAGAAAAATAAATTTAAGATTGTTTGCATATGGCTGAGAATATTTATGAACTATTCCCCTAGTTTCCTCATCACAGATTTGCCAGTGCATCTGTGTGTGGTGCAGAATAAATCTTTAGGGGAGTGGAGGCAGAGAGGGGAAGAAAGCAGTCACAGCACTGCGTATCCATCAAGTGAAGGGATGTGAGTGCTCCCAAGTCTCGGGTGCCGTGGTCATGGCTTCATTTGCTGCAGTCTGAGGGTTAGCCCGGACAGCTACCCGGAAGAGGGAGGGCTTCAAACCCAAGCACGGGAGGAATTAGCAGCTTCTCCGGGCTGGCTGTTTTCACACACCTCCTCTTACCAGAGCAGAAAGCCCAACATGAATGGTCTCAGGACCTGGGTGCCACTGTCAGCAGAGACCACTAAGTTCTCCGGATGGCAGATCAAGCCCGGGTGAGAGGAATGAACTGGCAATAGGAGGGATAAGAGCTGGTGGAGAATGTGTGGGTGCTGCCGCTTAGGATTTGACAACATGGCAGTGCTTCAGCACAAGGGCATGTTGCGTCTGCACCCCTGTGGGTGTGCCTTCCAACACAGCTTTTCACCAAGGAGGGTCCCAAAGGGGTGCAAGGGAGCGAGCTGCGTTTGTACATTAAGGAAATGAGAGCAGCAGAGCTACAAGCTGTGGATTTCCCTTCTAGGAACCTGGAACTCATTAGAATCTCGCATTTCGTGTTGAACCTCAGAATTCTTAGGGCTATACTGACCACATTCTGAAATGAGCTGACAGAGTATGGGGCAAGGGACAGACAGAAGATCAGGATGACCACCCCATTTGGCCTTGCAAGAGAGTAATTGTCGCTGAGGTTTTAGGATGGACCAGGCCCTGGGTCAAATACCTCTCTCCCCTCGTCTGAGTTAGGGATCTTTCATTATTGAGATAAGAAAACTGAAGCTCAGTGAAGTTAAGGAGCTTGCCCAAGGTCACGGTTAAGTGCCAGGACCAGGGACATATGAAGGATTTTTCTATTTCCAATCCTATCCACTGGTTTACTCTCCAGATGCCCACAATAGCCAAAGCTGGGTTAGGCTGATGCCAGGAGCTAGGGACTCAATTCAGGCCCCCCACCTGGGTTGCCAGGGGCCCAACTACTTGAGCTGTTACCTACAGCTGCCTCCCAAGTGTGCATTAGCAAGAAGCAAGAATTGGGAGTAGAGCCAGGACACAAGGCCAGGCACTCCAATTTGCACTGTGGACATCCCAAGCAGTTTTAACCACTGTGCCAATCACCCAATACCGTATCCAGGATTTGTAGGGGTCTGAAGTTAATACAATCAGCACAAATAAGGAATTTAAAAATCATGTCCAAGGCCTTGGAAGAGTCCCAGGCAATTAAGAGACCTTGAAGCTTAAGCCTCAGCGGCCAGACAGTAAATCCACTCTGGGCAACGTCAAAATTTAAACACAGGTTAGCTCCAGGCCGCATGGCCTCATCTCCTTTTCTCTCTACTGTGATTATATCCAACTCCAACCTCCACATTCCTGAACAAAGATGCACAAACACAAGTGATGAGGCTGACACCCAGACAACATCCCTATAACACGCCCACGTGGTGTGTTACATGATATGTTACACGCCTCTATTGTTGAACTGGAGCCTCCTAATCTCAACTGATCATTACAGACATGTTGACATTTATCCACAACTGGCCTTCCAAGGATCTTCAGTCACTGTGCCAGGCCTCTTTACCAAATCTCAAGAGAGTTCCAGACCCAGGGCCTTGTGTATAGACTTATACTGGGGTCTGCTCAGATCCCTTTGGGGCTATTGAAATTAGAACCTGCAATGTCTCATTTGCTTTTATATAAGTGGGTCCTTCAAAAAGTTCATGGAAAATAAAATTAAAAGATAAGCTTTGGGGCTGGTGCTATGTCACAGTGGGTAAAGCTGTTGCTTGTGATGCCAGCATCCCATATGGGTGCTGGTTCAAGTCCCGGCTGCCCTGCTTCTGATCCAGTTCCCTGCTAGTGCACCTGAGAAAGCAGCAGAAAATGGCCCAAGTGCTTGAGTCCCTGAACTCATGTGGGAGACCTGGGTGAGACTTCTGGCCCCTGGCTTCAGTCTGGCCCAGCCCCAGCTCTTGTGGCCTTTTGAGGAGTGACCCAGTGAGTAGAAGACCTCTGTCTCTATTTTTCTCCTTCTCTCTCTCTGCCTTTCACATAAATAAATAAATAAATCTTAGAAAAACTTAAGTTCATGCTGGTGCCAAAAAATTGAAATCTATGAATAGTTTCATAATACACACATTCTGTGAACTTCTTTGAAGACCACTCATTGTCTTTTCATATCCCTTGAATGTTGTCAGTTGGTCCAATGTTGACATGTTCTCTTTAATTTTTCCCTTTCTCCATTATAATCAAGATGTTTCCATCATCTTCATAACTGAGAAGGGTAGAGGGATTTGATTAAGCAAGTAAACCCAGTATAAATCGCAAGTGCTCCAGGGAGAGAAACATAATAAGTATTGTTTAGCGCCGACCCTCTGCCATTGCCCTTGAATGGTCTCATAATCCCACGCCTGTCTAGACAATCACTGAGGGGGAATACAAGCCTTGTTCCCAGCCCTGCTTGCTCACTCTCCCAAACTGGAAACGCAAAGCAGATGGTGAAGCCCAAGTTCAAATGCCACACCAGGGAGAAGGAAGTATTGAGAAACTCCATCCAACCTCTCGCTGCCTTTCAAACATTCCAGTAAGTGTTCCATTGATTTATCTTGGGCCAGTGTCACTCTATTGTCTTGAACAAAAGGCCTTCTATGAAGAGAGAAAGGCAGGTTGCTTGAGGAGTGGCTCATACACGGCACATGTGGGAAAATCTGAACCAGAGTATAGTCCTCTCAGCTTTTTCTCCAGAAGGCAACAGCAACCTTGTCTCTGCCTGAAATGAATGTGGACACCCATTATCTCAATGCCAGGCTCCACACCAGAGTCTGGAAAAACAGCTGCTGGGATAGGGCTGCTGACACAGAGGCAGTGGCCGATGGCCTGGCCAGTCTGCCTTCACCACTGCCCTCTACCCTAAGGTAGAAAGTTTCTATGCTCTTTTTTAAATTTATTTATTCATTTGAAAGTCAGAGTTACAAAGAGAGAGAAGGAGAGGCAGAGATAGAGAGAGAGAAGTCTTCCACCTGATGGTTCACTCCCCAATTAGCCACAACAGATGGAGTTGCACTGATCTGAAGCCAGGAGGCAGGAGCTTCCTCCTGGTCTCCCACGAGGGTACAGGGAACCAAGGACTTGGGCCATCCTCTACTGCTTCCCCAGGCCATAGCAGAGAACTGAGTCAGAAGTGGAGCAGCCGGGATTCAAACTGGCGCCCATGTGGGATGCTGGCTCTGCAGACAGTGGCTTTACCCACTCTGCCACATTGGCCCTAAATTTCTATGTTAATACTGTGATTGGGGTGGCCTGTGAGATTCCGAGTGGCAGACTGTGTGATAGTGACTTCCCACAGTTGCTCTTTCGGGTGCTTCGTTCTGCTCGTGTGTCTAAGTGAATGAGTTGGTAGATGATTATTAGGGCAGCATTCCCTTTGGGTCTTCATCCTTGGAGCTGCCTCTGTGACAGGTTTCCACACAGCTGTTACTGCCCACTTTCAGGGGAGCTTGCGACCTACTGTCCTGCTCCTTCTGTTTGCTACAGTTCTGAGTTTTAGAGAAAGTGCTTTGGATTAAACTCAAGTGTGCCTTCCTGGTACCCACTGTACCTCTAGGGGCTGTTTTATTTCCTGCACTGTGTCTCCTGGAGGTTTGTCCCTCCCCTTCTTGAGTTAGACATGGTTAATGCTCCCACAAAGACTGGTGAATATTTCTGTCCTAGAATGTCTATACAGCTTTTACTTATTTATTTATTTAATAGCCCTTTATTTCTATAACATTAATGTGGTTTTATTGTAGATTATTGACAAAATAAGAAAATAAAGGACTATTATTATTGCACCTGCTGAAGAGAAGCACTAAAAAAGCTTTGACATAAATCCTGATGGTTGTATCTCTACATACACACAGACATGCACACACACACACACACACACACACAGTACTCCAAAAGGTTCATGGAAACTAAAGTAGGAGTTTATTGTTCTGCAAAAAAGTTTGAAATCCTTGCAAAGTTTTTCATAGTGACCATTTTCCACATATCAAGAAAAAATTTATAGAAAAAACATTTTTTGCAGCACAATAAACATACTTTTAATTCTATTTCCCACACGCTTTTTGAAGTGCCCTCACGTGTTTTCTTTTTTTTAAAAAAAAAAGGATTACCTAACGTTCATTGTTTCACTATTTTTTTAATAAAGTAGACTTCTACTGAGTCAAGGTCATGGCTGCTGCCAGCTGTCGTGTATTGTGTGATGAGCTGGCAGTGTGATGAGAGGGCAAAATTCAAGAGGAGCTGCTCTACTCTGAAGACCCTGTGACTGTACTCAGTGCAAGGCAGTTGACTAAAGGCCCTCCGTTTGCTCTCCCACGCTAGCCCTGGAGAGAGGCCTGACCAAGGCGCTGAAGAAGCTGGATGACTACCTGAACACCCCTCTGCCAGAGGAGATTGACACCAACACTCGTGGGGACGAAGACAAGGGGTCCCGGCGCAAGTTCCTGGATGGAGACGAGCTGACCCTAGCTGATTGCAACCTGTTGCCCAAGCTCCATGTGGTCAAGGTAAGAGACCTCAACCCACAGGTGCTTGTAAGATCCAACCCCATCACAGGCCCATCATCTGTGTGTTTAAGTCAAGGACTGCACCCTCTGGGGGGTCGAGAACCCCAGATTCTGCATTCAGATGAATAAGGACCTCCGGTCAGCCTCCCCTACTTGCTGGCTCCCTAGCCTCTCTGAACTTCAGTTTTCATTTATAAAAGAGCCATGTCCTGTGTCTTCCAGGTTTGCTGGAAAAGCAAACACAGTGTGAAAGTCTCTGGCACATTGAGGGGCTCAAGATAAAATAGTTGCCATTGCCAGTCTGGTACATAGGCATATCATTCCAAAAAAACTCTCTCATTGGTTTCCATTGGCCTGGACCTCACATCTCCATGCCTGCATTCACATGTTCCCTTTGAGGCCAGGCCCGCCTTCCCACTTCCTCTAACAGCCCCCAGCATGGGTATGGATCATCTTCCTTGTCTGTCAGTTGAAGAAACAGAGCCTGCAAGAGGTGGTGTCACTTTCTTGCCACCATTGCACTCACTGACCATCTACAATATACAGTATCATCCTTTCCTACTCAACGGATCTTAGGATCTGAGAGTTGGGAAGAAGGCTGTTCAGGAGTCATCCTAAATGATCTCCCACCCCCAGCTGGATTGCTTTCTGCTCCATCGCTGGCAGGCTGTGTGCACCTGTGATTGCACATTTCTGACAAACCACCCCTACCACTTTGGATAAGTTGGTTATTAGAACATCCTGCTTTATAAGGACCCCAAGGGTGCTCCCACTCACCTCTCTGTTCCCTGAAGCAATAAGGAACAGCTCTGTTGGCCATCTCATTTGAAGACAGTTGTTGTATACCCCTAAGTTCTCTACATTAACACTTCTTTCCACATTCTTTCTTAACCCTCTCCAGCTAAGAGAAAAACACATGAGGTCATCTTATCACACTGCTCTCTACTTGTACACATGTCTGTAGCTTAATGTCAGTTGGAAAATAAGCCCCTTAAGGACAGGACCTTCTCTGAGTATGATGGTGTGTGCATGGTGACCCATTAGTAACTACTCATCAATCGATTTGGTCTCCTAGTGTACACATTAGCCACGGCCAGCTCTTTCCTACCCTTCATCAGGAAGAATCAGATCCCATCACGTGCCCTTTGTTTTTCAGCTGAAGCGCAGGCCTGGAAATGCAGGCTTCCCTTCGACCAGGGCACACACCAGCTTCAGTTGAGAGCACTTAGCTGTTGTTCACATGGGCCTCAAATCGAGCTAGAACTTGGGCGGGAATCGTGTGCCAATGGGGTGGGCAAATACAACCTATTATGATGAAGACACTCTGCCTTGAAGACAAGTCAATGTTACTTGTAGTTCCAGCCAAGCTAGACCTCTTTGAAGTTATGTGTGCCTCCCCCCACCACCAAAGCACCCATTGTTATCCTTTTCCTGAAGGACCAGCAGTTCCTTAAGGATGACATGAGTCCAGTTCAGTCATGCTGTGTCAGATGACATACCCAGGAGGCCCAAGTCCTAGTCCTATATCTGCCAAGGCTAACAGTAAGAGTTAGGGCAAATCACTCCATCTCTTTGGAATTCATTCTTCCCATATCTATAAGAAGGGGTGTGGATGACAGTGTTGCCTCCTTTTCCTCTCTTCCTTCCCTCTAACTGCAGCGTGCATTGACTGTCCACTCTAGAACCATTTGATCTCCCAGGGCTGCCGCACAACCCTGGGAGTTCTTCAACTCCTTCCATCTCTAAGTGACTAAGTTAAGGCCCTGCCCTTGTAGGAAGTTCAGTGGGTTGTGCCCTTGGAGAAGCTGAGGATCAGAAAGCGGGGAACAAAGGCTGCTGTCTCCTTGGATTTCTGCTGATCCAGCTTATCTGATCCCACGGACCTGGCCAACCTTGGAAATGCAGAAAGAGCAAAGGGGGAGCCAAGTTGGGCCTCCAGTTTGGCTGCCGACACCAAAACTGGATCTGGGCTGTGAGAGCTAACTGTTTTCATATGAAACAGCAAATTCAGGACATGAGCCAGGAAGTCCCTGTGAACATCAGAGCTATGGGAGAGAGAGCATTTTTGCCTGCTTGCTCCTGAGCTTTTGCTCTCTGGGCCCACATTCAGGTTCATCTCCATCCATAAGTGCAAAGCTGCTCTGACTCAGGTGCTAACTTTCATTGTCTGCCTCCCTCCTAGTTCTCCCCAAGTCAAGCCAACACGTGAGCAAACAATCAATCAGCTCCGTGGCCAAGTCCCAGGGGGCGTGAGTATCAGCAGGAAGGGCACCTGTAGGCCTTGCCCAGTTGGCCTGGTTGGACCCTGGCCCAGCGCAGTGTTGTATTCAGTCCCTGAGACCCACAGGAAGGGAGACACAAATATAGACACGAACATAGACTTATCCATTGCATTTCTGCTTTCTTAAAGCTAAGGTTCTACTCTATTAAAAAACTTGGAAACAAAATTTCAGCATGGCTAGATAGAGACAACACTACCAATTGGTGCACAGATAGATAGATAGATAGACAGACAGATTCTTTCATCTATCAAATATTTTTGATAGATTTCTTGATATATCTGTGGCCTTTTTTCATACACTCTGGCAAACTCTTGATCTGCATGGGATTTGCTCTTGAGCCAAGACAGACACTAGGAGAAATCCAAGGGACCCTCATCTTGCAGTGAACAGAGGAGGCCCAGGATGCCGGTGAGGTGTGCTGGCCCTGGCACTGTTGGTGGTGAGTACTCTGTGGAAGGACTCTGATCCCAACACCTTTGCTTATTGGCCACACTTAAGCTGCACAGAGCACTGTTGGGGGTGGCTTCCAGTTATCTTAACTGAGAGAATTTAATGTACAATGTTTTGTGAACTGAACAATTGGAAGGCAAAATGCCCCACTGGTTTCTACCTTCAGGAGTAAGTTACTACCTGGGATGAGGGGAAGGAAAAGAAGACGTTTAAGTTACACTAACGCAGAAACTTAGGAGCCATGCAGATGAGGAGCCCTGCAGATCTAGGCCTGGGACCTGGGAGCTAGGAGAGCTGCTCGGTTGGTGCTGGTCCAAGCTCAGAGGAGGAATCCACCAGCGAGAGCCCACCTCTGCAGCAGAGTCCCTGTCCTGTGATGAAGCTGGTTCCACGAGTGTTGGAAAAACACCAAACTGGACTTGGCTGCTGCTTCTTGCAGAAACTGGAGACTGACAGGCTGGGCCTTCTCCTCCCGTACGCTTGCAGGCTCTCTCTACTAACTCCTCTGGGCAGAACCCAACAGGCCTCCTGGGCAATGCAGAGATGTGGCCTGCACAGACCCAGCCCCAGCCTCACCAAGAAGTCAATAGAGGGTAGGTTTAGAGATAAGCAATGACAGATGAAGTACAGGAGGGACTTTAAGACCCAATTTGCAATCATGAATGTAGGACTGAGTGGACAGCAGGAAGAACTGTGGATTAGAAAGCAGGCAGTGTGATATACATGAACGATAACGCAATAAATGGTGGTTACTCAACACCTGGGTAACATTGTTCGAGTCACTTACTCTCTTGTGGGTTCAGTTTGCTCCTTGTTAAGGTTCTTCAGTGGAAAATTATGTTATTTTATTACATGTGACAAGGTGCATCTAGTGTCATATGTAACCACTGTTTATTGAATCTCTGCTTAGCCATTCTCTCTTTATTTTTTTTTTCATCTGTGAAAGGGGATATACTAGACCTTTCTTTATTGGGTTATTTGAAGACTTATGTATTTTAGCTTGCAAAGTGCTTAAAGGCGTACTCAATGAAGAAATGAGCACTCAATGAAGAAATGTCTGCTGCTGTCAATTCCCTGATCAACATCATAACTGAGGTTCCCAAACGGTGCAGAAACGAAGAAAGCTGTGGCTGCTGTCCTTACACTGCTCACAAGCTATGGAGGGAAAGATGGGATACTAAGATGCTACTTGTGATTCAGAATAGAGCTTAAAGTTCCATAGAAATTCAAAACCAGCTGAGGAGCAGGAGGGGAAATACCACATCCTCCGTGGGGTTTTGGACCTAACTCTGAGCATGTGCTGTTCATGCCAGAGGTCATCCTTGTCTCCACTCAGTTCAGCCTTCTGGAAAACTCCACACATCACTGGCACCGAACCAAAGATAAAAGCTCAGAGTGGCTGATCTGGGGGTTCTCATAGTGGGAGGATCCTGCGCCAATGGCCTGGGGTGCTCTCCACAAAAGAATATGAGGGCCAGAGTCAGCGATCAGAGCTTCAGGGACGAAGCTACTCTCTGCGACCCCCACCTCAGCCCCCAAAGGCTAGAGGCAGGACCAGCTAATACGCAGGCCCTCATGCGCCGTCAAAACAAGGAGCCCCTTGTTAAAAAATTATTAAGAATTTCCACACGTTGACAGCAGAACATTAAACCAAGAGCAGGGCCCTTCTGAGTGCAAAGCCCGGTGAGACTGCACAGGTCACATGTCCAAGAAGCTGCTCTGGCTAACAGACCTCATTCAAGACACAGCCCCTCCCCCACCCACCAAGAGAATGCCTGCAAAGGGGTAGAAGCTTGATCTCAATAAATGTCCACTGAGTACTTCTATTGTGCCAGGCACTCCTCTAGGCTTTTTATGTTGACTAACTTTAGTCCACGGTAGGTCGTGTGATGACCTATATTTTAGAGGCTATGAAGTTGGGGCTCAGAGAGGTTAGGCAACCTGTCCAAGCTCTCACAGCTGTTAAGTGGAGTCAAGACTGCAAATCCTTGAGGTTCAGAGCTCTTACTTTTAACCATTATGCTGCTGTTTCTCTCAAAACTACTCACTTCTCCAGGCCTCTCCTAGGACACATCCCCCTGACTGTGCCAAACCCAGGGAGAACAGAAACTACTACATACTCATGGCACGAACCTACATAGGCATTCCAACATCTAACTTACTTTTCATGTTTTTTTTTTCCTCCTATAAGTTAGAATATCATGTAAAACAAAATAGAGAAGGAAAAAAAGTTATCCAAAATTCTATCAATCAGATGGAATCCCTAGCAGCCTTTTGATTGGTAAAGATACTTCTAGTCATCCTACCTATTTCTCCAAATGTGCTATAATGAACTTTGGATGTCACAGTCTACCTTGGAGATTTTTCCCAATCACTGGATTTTCCTTGGCCTTTTGAACAATTCTGTACAAAGGGTCCTCAGAGAGTTCATGAAAAAATGCATATGATGATAAAACTATGCATGGATTCACATTTTGTTTTACATCAAACCAAACTTATCCTTTAATTCTTTGCCACCAGCTTGTTGAAATATTGCATATTTACACATGACAAATGTGTTTCCTGATTCGTGGACATGGGTGTTGTGCACCATTTTCTGCCATTCATTTTCTGCCATTCTAAATAGGCCTGTCATCCTAGTTGGGTGGCGAAATCTTTGTGTACATCCATAGTTATTACTAGAAGTGGAACCACTAGTTCAAAAGGCAGATTATATTTATTTAATAAGTAGATGAAGAAGGAATGAAAAGGAAGACAGCATTGCCACCTTGCCTTCCATGCATTTTGCCAGCGGCCCTTCATGAAGCATGGGGCTCTCCCGCTGTGCACCCCCATTTCCCCAGACACCTTGTGATGGCTTGTTTCACGCCTTCACGCCATCTCTGTTTTAGATTGTGGCCAAGAAATACCGCAACTATGATATCCCAGCTGAGATGACAGGCCTGTGGCGGTACCTCAAGAATGCCTATGCCCGGGATGAGTTCACCAACACCTGTGCCGCTGACGCAGAGATTGAGCTGGCCTACGCGGATGTCGCCAAGCGCCTCAGCCGATCCTGAGCACTGCCTGGCCCCATCCCTGCTGCAAAAGGACTCAGCTTCCCCCAGAGGACTCCAGCTCCACCAGCCCCTCTTCTTCATTGCCTCGGAAAACATTTTTTTTCTCTTGAAACCAGGTCACATTTTGCTGGCATCACCCGAACTCCAGCCCATGATCTTTTAAGAAGGTCAGTGCCATCCCCTGCCTCACCACGCAGGAGTCTGGCAAGCAGAAAAGATTGGAGCTAGGACTGCGTTGGCTGAGGATTTTGGGGCCCAGCTCCCTACTTCTGACGCTCCTGTCATTGGGCACTGAAGGCCAGATTGCAAAGTCTTTCCACTGTCAGCTTGCTGGAGTGTGAGAAAGCTGCAATGCTTTGGTGCACTTGACCGCGCTGCTGACCCTAGTGTTCATGCTGGCCAGGTCCTGCCACGAAAGGAAATGGGCAGGCAGCTCCAAACTGGGGTGACTGGGGAAGGGGAGTGGGGGGAGGGGGGCAATGTCGATGCCAAAAGGCCCACAGGGTCTATCAGCCATGGGGTTTGCTCGCTTAGGGGTAGTTGTTTGACTGGGGAGTACATGCCTGGGTTTGACTGTGTGTATCAGTAAGTGGCCCTGGTCCAGGAGAGAGCAGATGGGAGTAGAAGGGGAAGGATGGGTGAAGATAAAGGAGTGCTGTATGAGGCTTCCTGTCCCCTGGTAAACTTTTAGACAGGTCTTCTCTCTCATGATCCAACTAAGGCTTGGACTGGTGGTGTGGTTTCACCAGCAGCCTCATTGCAAAAACCCAACAATTGGCCAAAACCATCTCCCTGGTCTCTCCTAGTTGCTCCTGGATGTGAATCTGCTGGTTGGGTACTTTCAGGTGGCTACCCTTGGCTGACCCAGCTTCTGCCACTGATGGAAGACATACAGTCAGCAGGTGGCACTGTCATGGAACACCTGAGAAAGTCCAGGGGACTGTCTGACTGGGAAACCATGAGGTTGAACTTGAAGAAAACCATGTACCCATCTGGGTTAATTTTCCTACCAGTAGATTCAACTGCCAGATGAAAATTTTTTTCTTAGCTAATATTTCACTCCTTCGTCATTCTCCTTGAGTTTCACCTCCTTACAAACTCACCCGGTCTTAGCATTGGGGACTTGTGCAAAGGAAACTAAGAAAAATGAACTAATCATCGACTCCCTCTCCCGGTGAACGCCCTGTGAGAAAACCCATCCACCCCAGGGCCTCACCTGCAACAATCCTGCCTTCTGTGTTGCTTCTCGGTGGAGGGTGAGGCTCCCAAGTGCCGGAAAGGCCTTGGACTTGGCTCATTTCTCAACGAGGGCAGGACAGCACGGGTCCTTTCCATAGAAACATCAACAAACTCTAACCCAAGCAATGCCTGAACCCACCTGCCTCCAGGGATCTCTGAGGGAAAGAAGTGATCCATTGATCAAAACAGAGGACAGGAAGCAGGAGGCCTCCTCTAGGCCACTGAGGAAGAGGAAATTTCTCAGTAGGACATTTTATGAGCCTGAGAGAGCTTTGAAAGGGCAGAATGAGTTGATTCATTTGCCCCCTTTAAAGGAATCTTTCCACAGTCTCCCTGGAAACTTTGCCCCTGGGGAAGCTTAACAAGGAGATCTGGTAAGGCAACAGTCTTTTTACTGTAGGGAAAAGCCCCAAACTAGCCTCTGGGGATGCGAGTTCGAATGATTCCGAGGGCCTTTTCATTAGTGTGAAACCATGCTGGACTCAGAAATCCTTCCATGCACTTATGGCCAAGCGAGAGGACCTGGGAGGCAGCTGACTTTTCTGAGATCCATGGGTGGGCTGTTTTTGAAACCCACGTGTGAGGCACAGCACACATAATGAGGACCCCCCGGAGGACAGCACCGCCCCAGCGGAGGTGGCAGAAAGCTCAGGGCTCTGCCTTGATATCCAGAATTCAGCAGTTGGTGAGTCCAAAACCAGACAGACCAGACCAAAGCAATATGGTTGTTTCCAGATGTTCCTTCTGGGGTTGAGTCAGTTTGACATAAATAAGGCACTGGGTAGGGGTGTTACATGATCACTTACAACCATTTAGAATAGGAGAAAGGCATTTCTGGATACTCAATTCAGAACTATCATCTAATACAACTGGATATTGACTCAGAGTTCTGATGGCTCATGGCCAGACTAATCCCAGCATATTAAAATAAGAATATTAATACCTTCCACTGGTTGCTTTCTTTTTCCAGAAGAGATTCCCCTGCACTCCCCTCCTCCCCAATCTTTCAACCTCACTGGGCTTTGGCCATAACTGTGTCCCGGGCACAGTGTACCATTTCTCAGCAAGTGGGATGATGTCCTTAGGAGTCCCAAGAAACAAGTCAGGAAGGATTGAAGGGTTTGCAGCTTGGGTCCTGGGTGACTGCTGATCCCACCGAAAGCATTTCAGTGGCACAGCAAGGGGGCTCATTTGTGTTGAGCTCCTGTTTTATCTTGTAATTACTTATCCCCTTTGACTTTCCATCACTACTTTTTTGTAGGGTAGGGCAGTGAGAGGCAAAGGCAGAAATAAAAGTCAAGGTCAGAATGGCAGAATTGAACTCGGTCATCTCTTCAGGACTGCCTAGGGCTTAGTTTGGCCCAGAGCGAAGGTCCTGGATAAGATTTTAAAAACTATACAAGATGAGCTGGATGTGTAAAATCTGGAAGGAAGTCAAACGCCTGATGAATTTCGAATCACAGTACAAGTAGGACTGTCTTCTTTTATAGCAAGGGGGTTCAGAGTTCCCCTGCACCAAACAAATGAGTTGAAAACTGGGAAATGTAGACAATCAGCTTGTTTGGCCACTAGTTCTTAAACTAGTTTCAATTTCCCAGGAAATGGCACTGTTCTTAGTGTTCCCTCCTTGTGCTAGGGGTGCTTAAGAAAGATCTTGATCCTTCCAACTTTGCCAAGAATGAGGTTGCCTGGGCCACATTCTTTGTCCAGTGAAACAACAGAAGCTGTCCACAGCACCTGTGCGTGGCGACCACACTACAGACAAACCATACTGAGTGTCTTGGGATCGTCACAAAATGGAGCACATCTAAAATAGACCTTGGCCCTCTAAGATTCCTGGGAATCAGCAAGGCCTGGGCAGACAGCAGTGAGACAGAGGCAGAGACAGGAAGTTGGGGTTCTTCCCTGGGAAGAGTCTGCCCTCACTGAGAGCATCTGTGTCCAACGTTAAACTGATCTGGAAGCAGCAGGCATCCAGGAGGCACTTCTGCCGATCTCTATTCCCACTGGCCAGGAGCCATCTCCACTGTCCCAGATGCTGGTGTTACCCTCTTGGGAAAGAAGAAACATTAACTCATGATCACATCTACGTTCAGCAAGTCCCAAAGGGATTGCTTTCAAATTTTTGTATGTCACGTCAAGAAGAATCTTAAAGTACTAGAAAAAGTATGCACATGGAAGCCTCTGATCCCGCAGCACACAGGCCACTATGGCCTTCCACCTACTGCTCTTCACCACTCAAATCAAATAGCACGTGCCCTCCTTCTGAACACACACTCTTCTTCTCCCAGGTTAGTCTCAGGAGACTGTCATCTCAAGTCACATAGTTGTATTTAATGCCCTCTAAGGAAATAGATTCAATCCTCCCCACAACCAAAGATAAATAGAATATTGCCTCCATACAAGGTGTAAGCTAATGGATATTTCTATAAAAGCAATCTGGTTTTTGGCAAAGCGTAGTTTTCAGGATCCAGTCATCCCAGATATTTTGTGTACCGTTAGAGTTTTCACACTATTGACTACGCATATGTTTCACATTTAAAATATCCAGCTGATGTTTGAATTTATCTTACTTTCTTAGCTATGTGGTTGCCCTATTTTATAAACTAGGGAGCTCACCAATCTAGCAAATGATGCCTAGCTTTTATAAAAGAACAAGTACTTCATTTTACAAAGTCACTCCCCATGATGGCTGCTTGATTTTCACGAGACCTTCAACTGTGTTGATCAAATAACCATACTTGCTTTCCAGCCTTAATAAATATAAAATGCCTTTTAATGAAGATATAGTTGAGTGCTTTCCTCATGAATCTGAACCAGTTATAAATTTGTTTCCCAGACTTGAGTGGTATTGACTGATTCAAATAAAGTTGCTTTATTTTCAATTACTATAAAAGCGATCATCAGGTTTTTTATTTGAGGTGGAAATTTCCTATACTATTTTAAATGAGAAGTATAATAGACCTCTTTTTTTTTTTTTCAAATAAAGATTAGTTTACTTTCTGTTGTAAAAGAAAATATGCTTATTCTTAAAAATCAAAGGGAAATCAGAAGAAATAGGGGAAGAAGTAAAGGAAAAACAAAACACTTGTGACCCAGTCATCCAAAAACTGAATTTTTTTTTAAGCAAAGCTTAAAAGTCTTTCATAGTGCACAGGTTAAGCAAAAACATAGGGAAACTCCTTCAGGTTTTTCATTTCCTGTCTGTCTTGTCTTATCTGAAGGTAGGTCAGCAGTGAGAGTCCAGGTTAGGATTTAAATGATACCTTTTAAAACCCATCTACTGTGCCTGCAGCTTTCTTTTGGCTCGAAGGGGCTTCTCCTTATCAGCATTCCTAGACTGAAATTCCCACTGGGAGCACCACCCTTACCGCCTCGCCTCCGGGCTAAGTGGTCATTATACCTGCAGCAAACAAAGCTCCTGACACAGCCTCTAAGAGCAGTCCCATTGCTGAAAGGTACCAAAGGTTTGGCGCCTCCTGTGGGCTCCATGCCAGCAGGAGAGCTTCTGGTTATCTTGGAGAGATGAAACGGCTGACTTGGGGTGAGTCCCGGCTGGGCAGGGCAGCTGGGAGCTCAGGGCAGGTGCAGCAGATACAGTCTTCTGCACCCTGACCACCACATCTTCTTCTGGCAGGAGCTCTGTTCCGGGCGGGAGTGCACCCCCTTACTCACACATTTCTCCCTCTCCCTCCCTACACACCCTTCCCCCTTCCTGTGATTCAGGTGAGAGTGATTTCATTCCCAGTTCTAAGAGCAAATCAGAGATGGTCCAAACCCCTCCTCTTGGCTGACTTCAGAGTGGCCCCTGACCAACTTCCAGCCAGTGTCGCAATGGGCTACTAAGATTCCCTTGTTCTGGCCGGTGCCGCGGCTCACTAGGCTAATCCTTCGCCTTGCGGCGCCGGCACACTGGGTTCTAGTCCCGGTCGGGGCGCCGGATTCTGTCCCGGTTGCCCCTCTTCCAGGCCAGCTCTCTGCTGTGGCCAGGGAGTGCAGTGGAGGATGGCCCAAGTGCTTGGGCCCTGCACCCCATGGGAGACCAGGATAAGTACCTGGCTCCTGCCATCGGATCAGCACGGTGCGCCGGCCGCAGCGCGCCGGCTGTGGCGGCCATTGGAGGGTGAACCAACGGCAAAGGAAGACCTTTCTCTCTGTCTCTCTCTCTCACTGTCCACTCTGCCTGTCAAAAAAAAAAAAAAAAAAAAAAAAAAAAGATTCCCTTGTTCTGCAGAAAGTGACTCCTTACGTCACTGCCTCTGGCGCTGCCACTGGTGTGAGGCCTGGAAATGCTACGTCTCTGGGAACCATGACGAGCCAAACTTAGGATGAAGTCAAGACCATAGACTGCAAAATGCAGCAAGAGATGGGCGCTCCTAGGCCGCAGTTTCCTGAAGGTAGTTATGAAGGTCCCTTGTCTATGTGATTCTACCATCTCTGATGACAGCACCTGTTCAAGCGCAAGGCCATGTCAACCTACTGGCACATTCAATCAGTTGGAAGATCTCTGTGGTGTCCTTTAACGGAACAAAGCTGGCCATCAGAATATACAGAGATGTTAGGCATTTGTCTATGTGGGGTTTTTATTTTAAAGTAAATTTTAGGGGTCGGCATTGTGGCTCAGCAGGTTAAGCCACCACTTGTGGTGCTGGCATGCAATATGAGAAAGCCAGGAGTTCCCGCTGCTCCACTTCCAATCCTACAATATACCTGGGAAAGCAAAGGGCGATGGGCCAAGTACCACCATCCCTGTGGGAAACCTTCATGCAATTCCTGGCTCCTGGCTCTTGGCTTCTGCCTGACCCAGTCTCTGCTGTTGTGACCATTTGGGGAATGAACAAGCAGATGGAAGATACTCTCTCTCTCTCTCTCTCTTTCCCTCTCTCCCCCCTTCTGTCACTCTCTTTTTACAATAAATAAAATAAATCTTTTTTAAAAACTAAATTTTAGAATGTGACTTGAAGTCAATTGACATCATATCTGCCCTCTATTTTTTGATATGTTCAGTGATATCTATGTCTACATGCAATGAAGGGGATCCCAAGGCCCAGCAATTAGGTTCATCTATTGCAATGATTTTTACAGAAAGTAGGATTCGAATTTTGGACAAGTTTTCATTGAAAATGTGTAAATGAAGACATGTTTTCAGTTTGTCTCCTTGAGCTCCAGTATCTCAATGTTCCAAGCCTTCTTGACGCCACCCTTGAATAGGCCCTGGAGTCTGCACCATTCAAGATACATCACACACATATCCTTAAGAGACAAGTGGAGAGCCAGGGACTCAGCCCGCTGTGAGGAAATGCTTGGTTTTACTCCATTTTGAATCTCTAAGGAATGGTTTCCTGTGTGTCAGTCACTCCTCACTGCTCTTTCCCTGGTTAAGGCTATCCAGTCTTGGTGTCATGCCCACCTCAAGTGGCACTCAGCAAAAATTAGATCTTCAAAAATATGTATTGGTGATTGACTAGAGAGGTCATGAGGCAGTATTCTCGACTTCTGGGTTGACCTTGGATCTCACTGTTCATTTTCGTCTAGTCCCTGACACTCACCAAACCATAACTCTGAAAATGGAGGGCTAAAAAGAATTGAGGAAAGAAATATGTGTCTGTTAGTTGAATATGATTCCAATGTATGTCTGAAGAGTGCATCCTTTTAAAACAATCTATGAAGGATTTCTCTGAGTGGAAGGATTAAAAGCTACCTAACACTCATTGAATTGCATAGTTAGGGGATAATTTATTCCCTTTTCTAGGTTGGCCACAAAATTGTGCCCACATTAGATATTATTTTTTAAGTGGATGAGAAGGGTGGGCGTTTAGCCCAATGGTTAAGACACTTACATTCCACATCCGAGCACCTGGGTTTGATTCCCAGCTCTAACTCCCGACTCCAGCTTCCTACTGATGCACACCTTGGGAGGCAGCAGGTGGTGGCTCCAGCAGTGGGATTCCTGCCAGCTGCTTCCACCATTTAGGTAGAAGACCTGAATTGAACTCCCCATTCCCAGCTTCAGCCCCCAGTTGTTATGGGCATTTACGAAGTGAACCAGCAGATATGAGTGCTCTCTTAAATAAAGTGAAGTTTAGAACAAAATAAAGTGGACTATAAACTTTGAGGTGAGAGTGATTCTGGATAGTAAAATCTAATTAAAGTAAAGGCTAATTAAAGGTTAAACAACTACATCATATATATATACATATACACACAATATATATATATAGAGAGAGAAAATGTAGAAAATACAAAAGCAGAAATTAAGTTATGCCTATAATTCTTCCATCAAGAGGTAACCACTTTTCATTTTTAATTATCATTCCAGCCTTTTTCTAAGAAGATATATTTATAAATATGGACCATTTTTAAACACAAAAGGAATAATATTGAAAACTGAAGCCAATGTACTTTGTTGTCTCTATGATAAACAGTTCTGGAGTAAAGTATATATACTTTCTATTTCTGTGCCAAGCAATACTGGAACCAGATAAAAATAACTTTCTGCTTGCTCAGCAAATATTTGCTTGCTCGACAACAATTGCTACAAGACCTCCCCTTATCATGCCCGTCAGTCCAAAGCTATTATGTCATAAACTCTGCACAATCCATCCAGCCCCTTGCCTTTTCAGACTCTCCTTATAATCCCTGGGCTCTGGTCCTAAAATCTTGTAAATAACCTCCCCTGGGGCCAGCGCTGTGGTACAACGGGTTAACACCCTGGCCTGAAGCATTGGCATCCCATATGGGCACCGGTTCCAGTCCCAGCTGCTCCACTTCTGATTCAGCTCTCTGCTATGGCCTTGGAAAGCAGTAGATGGCCCAAGCCCTTGGGTCCCTGCACCTGCATGGGAGACCTGGAAGAAACTCCTGGTTCCTGGCTTCAGATTGGCGCAGTTCCGACTGTTTTGGCCAATTGGAGAATGAGCCATTGGATGGAAGACCTCTCTCTCTCTCTGCCTCTCCTTCTTTCTCTGTGTAACTCTGACTTTCAAATAAATAAATAAATCTTAAAAAAAAATAACCTCCTCTGAATACTTCCTTCTTACATACTACTAAGATTCTGTCAAGGAGGTCTCTTTATTGAGATAAATTTTATAAACTTCACGTTTCTTAATCAGTAAATTTTTCTAGCATTATTTTAAGAATTGTCAGCCAACCTCTACATATTGTTTTTTTAAGTATACTTATTTATTTATATTTATTTTTAAGGCAGAGAGAAAGTAGAAAGAGAGGTCTTCATCCACTGGTTCACTCCTCTGTTGGGGCTAGTTCAAGTTGAAGCTAGCAGCCCAGAACTCCATCTGCCTTTCCCATGTGGGTGGCAGGGTCTCAAGCACTTGAGCCATCAGTGTGCCTCTTGGGTACTCATTAGTGGGGACCTGGATCAGAAGCAGAGGGAAAACTTAATCCCACTCTGATGTGGGATGCTGGATATGGACATCCCAAGCTACAGCTTAATTTGCTGCCTCACAACGCTCACCTCCACATACTGTTTGTTAATCACTCATATCATGAACATTCTTATATGTTCTTTTCATTTATATAATCAGTCTCTGTATCATAACCCATTTAACCAGCTTCCTATTATTTAGATTTTAGGGCCTTCCTAATTTTTCACTCTTATAATCGATGCTAGAATGAGTACCAATAAGCTAGATTTTTCATTTTCTCCATTAGCCTCTTAGAATAGAGTTCTGGAAGCAAGATTGCTAAGTCAAAAATCATGCTTGCTATAAGCCTCCTGTTATAGATTGCTCGATTTACTTCCAGATTGTTCCAACTTAACTTTGGCCAGCAGAGTGCTTATTTTCTCACATCATCACTAGTACTTAGTGTTATCATTTTTCAATTCTTCTCTTTAAAAGATTTGCTTTGTTTATTTGAAAAGTAGAGAGACAGAGAGAGAAGGGGAGACAGAGGAAAAGAGATCTTCCATCCACTGGTTCATTCCTCAAATGGCAGCAAAGGCTAAAGCCAGGAGCCTGGAACGCCCTCAGGGTCTCCCCTGTGGGTGACGGGGCCCAGCTATTGGGTCGTCTTCTCCTGCTTTCCCAGGCACATTAGCAGGGACCCCAAACAGAGCGGCTGGGACTCCAACTGGAACTAGATTCAGAATGCCAGCGTCACAGGCACTGGCTTAGCCCTCTGCACCACACCACCAATCCTCATTTTTCAATTCTTTTCAATTTGATAAGTGAAATATAACTCATGATTTTCTCTTTATTTATCTACCTGTGAATATCTTTCCAAAGTGAACAGTCCCTTTCTTTACTGTTTTTAATGAATATCAACAGAATATATTTCATGTGGTTCATAGACACAATTCTAAGAACATAATGAAACTCCCCTCCCTCCCTCCCTCCCTCCTCCTTAATTTCTTTCTTTTAATTTTCGTGATAACATACTTTCAATTTACTTTATAATCACAGGCTTACTGGGCCACTAAATAAAGAGGCCAACAAGTAAAAAAGTAGAAAGACCACAGGAATATAGACAAGGGCTAAGACAGGAATCAAATCACAAGATGCCAATGTCACACATATAAATTGGTTTTTATATTTTTTTTGGGGGGGGGGGATGGTACTGTGTATTAGCTTCTATACATCAGAGAAAACATGTGGTACTTCTGTTTACTGCATTTAGGTCCTCTGTTTTTTAGAGGAAAGTATAGTTCCTCTTGCAATTTTTAGCTACCACATACCCATGAGGTTACATCTTGGAAGGAGGTAAGGATGGACTGACTTGAGGCAGTTCTTGCTCCTCTTTGGACTTCCTGGTATATTTTGAAGTAGAACACAGAACAGATAGTTCTCTCTTTACCTAATATATAAGAAATTCAAAAAGAAAATCTTCCTTACTTTAGGCCACAAAAGGACTTCAATCCTAGATCAAACCCAGTAATTGTCTTGAGGGTATTAGAAACATGTTATTGGGTAGGAATGTATGTAGGGGGAGGAGGGGCAAGTTGTCCTCTCTGCCTTATGAGAGTACTTCCAAAGGTTCATGGAAACTGTATTAAAGAACCTTATTTTTGATACAGAAATAAATTGAAATCCATGCATAATTTTTCATGATACATGTTTCCATCAACTCTTTGAAAACTATTCATATCATATATATTTTTTAAAGATTTATTTATTTGTTTGAAAGGAAGAGTTAGAGAAAGAGAGAGAGAGAGAGAGAGAGAGAGAGAGAGAGAGAGAGAGATTGAGTTCTTCCATCTTCTAGTTCACTCCCCAAATGGCCATAACAGCTAGGGCTGGGCCAGACCAGGGCCAAGAGCTTCCTCCGGGTCTCCCACATGGGTGCAGGGGCCCCAGCACTCAGGGCATCCTCTGCTGCTTTCCCAGGCATATTAGCAAGGAGCCAGATTGGAAATGGAGCAGCCAGGATTCCAACCATTGACCATAAGGGATGCTAGGATTGCAGGCAGCTGCTTTACCTGCTACGCCACAGTAGTGGCCACTCGTATATGTTTTCAAATCAAAATAAAGTCATATTTTAATTCCGTATTTCTATCAACATTATACAATACCCTGTAGCTTTAGAAACATTACATTTACAATGATTAGGCTGACTTGGGAAGAGCTATTCTCTAGTATAAAATTCCACCAGAAAGTCTCACAACTCATGGAGCATTTAGCGTTCAGGGCAGGGTCAAGTCTGTCCAGAAGGAAGTCAAATGCGGGGACAGAAGAGAAAGATGTTGGCGGATCCTGCACTGGGACACAAGGAAGTGACACAGGGGAACCTGAGCCCCAAGTCTATATTTCTAGAGTATCAACCTCCAAAGCACTGCAGCTTCTAAAGTAAGAGCCAAGAGACAGGCAGGTCTTCAGCCCTGAATCCTAGATTAATTAGTGGTGGGAAGAGATTTCGCATTCAGCCAGAACCCAAAGACATTTGGGAACTGAGGATCTTCAATCTTTCCTTTTGCCTTACCACATGCTCATGCATCCCACAACTCCACAAACACTGTCTCCTATCACACTGTCTAGCATTCTTAGGAGAATCCTCAAAAAAAAAAAAAAAAAAAAGGCCAGGATGGCCCTACCTCTCATGCCTTGCATTGATCCAGATGCCATGCAACCTGAAAACAAAAACGAGGAGAAAGGGGATGGTTGTGCAAGAGCATGAGATTCTAACTGAACCTCTACGTAATAAACACCACAACAGGGCCAAATTCAACATCCAAAAGAGACATGGAGCCCAAAAACCATCATGTGGGTATTTAATTCTAGAAAAGGGAACTATATGAGAGTGTTGAGGAGGATAATGAAAGGAGCAGTTAAAATGTAAATTGCTCACTGGAGACTATTTTAAAATGCTTTTTTTGAAGTACTATGCAAGGAGCTCCAAAGTCAATACTGAAAGACGCTATAAATTCATCAAGGCAGAAAGCCAGCTAGATAATCAGGGAGACCACTTGACCAGAGCACGCTGGGAAACAAAAATAAAGATAGCACGGAGAGGCAGCTATTTTTCTTTTTAACAGTGTAAAGGTGAAGAAAGACGACATGGACATCCTGACTTCCTCTTTTGAAAGACACTGTTTATAAACATGCACTCAAATACAAATGGGTCTAATGGCCTGATGGCAGCAGACGGCAACAAGAGACGTCCTGAGAGTGAAGCTACTGGGGGAAACACAAATGGTTGCAGGAGGAAACAGAGCTCCTGTATGAGGGGCAGTAAGATGCCTCCACACAGCCCAGATCCAACCACAGAATCATGAATTCTCAGTTATCATTAGCAACCAAATCTTTGAGATATGGGCCTAAGGCTACTGTGTTCAAAATGACCAGCCAAAAGCTGGACTTCTTCTGGAACAACCTTGGACATGACACACAATCTCTTGGCTCTCCAGGGGCAAATCCATGGTCTGTTGACTTCTATCCGCAACATTTCTACCACATCACAAGAAATACAAACAATGGCAACAGCCACAATGGTGAAGGCGTACCTTAGGACAACATGTTCTAAATAGTATGTATTTATTAAATCTTAGGTTCTTACAACATTCCAGTGATGTCATTGATTTCTCATTTACAGAAGGGATCTAGAGCCTGCAGCAGTTGGCTTATAACTCAGGAGGAGCTAGGAATTGATTCCAAAGACTAGCCCCAACTCTTACAGGTGAGGGAGACAGGCTAAAACAAAACTAGTCTTCCTTAGACAGAAAGGACAAAATGGAACATGACAAAACCCTATGAAATGAAAAGGGTTGTGAGTTGATGGTCAGATAGAATATGAACCAGGTAGCGTATAGGCAATCCTGAAGCAGCTAAGATTAAAAATACAAAATTGCTTAACAATGGACTTTGGAGACTTTTCTATGTAAGTACATAAAGAATTTCCTCAGTTGTCTGTTTTATGGATGTATCATTTTCTTTAGTAAGATTACCTTTATTTATTGACATGTTTGTAAATATTTTCCATTGAAAAGTAAAGTGGCTTGTGCCATGGCTCAATAGGCTAATCCTCTGCCTGCAGTGCCGGCACACCGGGTTCTAGTCCCAGTCGGGGTGCCAGCTGTCCCGGTTGCCCCTCTTCCAGGCCAGCTCTCTGCTGTGGCCAGGGAGTGCAGTGGAGGATGGCCCAGGTCCTTGGACCCTGCACCCACATGGGAGACCAGGAGAGGAGAGGCACCTGGCTCCTAGCTTCGGATCAGCGTGATGCATCAGCCGCAGCAGCCATTGGAGGGTGAACCAACGGCAAAGGAAGACCTTTCTCTCTGTCTCTCTCTCTCTCACTGTCCACTCTGCCTGTCCAAAAAAAAAAAAAAAAAGTAAAGCATACACGCATTTCAAGGCAAAGCATCCAATTCAAAAGGCATTATAGCAAAAAGTGGGCAACTTTCTTACCCCCAATCATTCTCGCAACCTTCGCAGAAGTCACCGCTTGTATTGACACCTGGAAATTTCATATACTCGTACAATCGCTTACGCATACATCACGTGGCACATGTGCATTCTTTTTTTTATTTATTTATTTGAGAGGTAGAGTTACAGAAAGTGAGAGGAAGAGACAGAGAGAGGTCTTCCTTCCTTTGGATCACTCTCCAAATGGCTGCAACAGCCAGAGCTGTGCCGATCCAAAGCCAGGAGCCTCTTCTGGGTTTCCCATGGGGGTGCAGGGGCCCAAGGACTTGGGCCATCTTCTACTGCTTTCCTAGGCCATAGCAGAGAGCTGGATCAGAAGAGGAGCAGCTGGGACTAGAACCGGCATCCATATGGGATGCTGGTGCCAAAGGTGCAGAATTAACTTCCGGCACCACGGCGCTGGTCCACATGTGCATTCCTGATTAGTGAGAATGCAGGATACCTGGATGAGTCTGTGTGCATACATCATGTTTATTCTATCAAAAACAGAAGCACAGGGGCAGACATTTAGCCTACTGGTTAAGACTCCCACATCTCACATGAGAGTGCCCTGAATTCAACTCCCAGTTCCAGCTCCTGACTCCAGGTTCCCACTAATGCAGACCCTCGGAAGCAGTGACAATGACTCTCAAGTAGTTGAATTCCTGCCACCTTTGTGGGAGAGTTGGATTGAACTCCAACTTCAGAAGCCCTACCTGTCCCCCACAACAATTGTGGGCATTTGGAGAGTGAACCAGTGCAGGTGGAATGATCTCTCTCTCTCTCCTCCCCTCAAATACATAAATAATTTTAATGAAAATACATTTTATATTGAAATTTTTTACTTAATGTATCTTGATGTGCTTTCTATATCAATACATGTTTTATATTATTTGTAATGTCTACTCAGTGTTTGCTATATAAAAATAACTTAAACCAGCTAACCAGTCTACTTTTAGCAGAAGCTTCAGTCTCCTGTTTTTTTCTGTTGGAATCATGATGTAGTGAGCATCCTTGGGAGCATCTTTGAACATGGTGAGAAAATATTTTCAGGATAAGTTCCTGGAGGCGCAATTATCACATCCTATGCATGTATATTAAGTTAGTAAATTTTATTTTATTTTAAATAAGAAAAGCACTTGAGTGATTCAAAACTTAAAGTAGTATAACAAAATAAACACTGGGAAGTCTCATACTCTCTCCCTGACCTTGATCGTTGTACTTCCTTCACTCGCAGTAAATAAAGGCTTCATTTGTTTCTTGAGAATCCTTTGAGATTATTCTTCATTCAGATGCAAAAAATTCACATGTTGTACATATGAGAGTACTGCAAAATGTTAATGAAAAAAGATGGATTTAAAAAATATTCAATTTGGTACACAAAAATTTTGAAATCTATGCATAGTTTTTTCACAATACTCATTTTCCATAAATTTTGAAGACATCTTATATGCATGAATTTCCAAAAAAAATTGTACCAAAGTAAACTTGCAATTGCTTTTTCCAAAGAGGATTTTTTGAAGTACACTTATGTTCTTACCTCTGTTCCTATCCCCAAAGTACATACTACATGCATTGTTCTGTGTCTTACATTTTCACTTAATATATCCTAGAGATCTTGCTATAGACTGAATTATGTTCTCCCAAAATTCCTGTGTTGAAATTCTAACCCTCAAGGTGATGAGGGAGGAAGGTGCTGAGGTCATGGAGGTCGAGCCCTCTTGAGTGGAATTGGTACCATTATAAGAACAGACAGAAGAGAGCTCTCGTCTCTTCTCTCCACCATGTGAAGATTTAAGGAGAAGATAGCCATCTGCAAAAACAGGAAGAGGGTCCTCACCAGGCACCAGATCTACTGAAACCTTGATCCTGGATTCTCCAGCCTCCAAAACTGCGAGAAATAAATTCTTGTTACTTATATGCACTCGGTTTATGGTATTTTGCTATAGTAGCCCAAACAAAGTAAGACAGATATTTCCATAAAAGCACACCAGGATCTTCACTCTGGTTTATAGTGGCATACTATACCATAGTGTAGCTATTCCATAGCTTAATTAGTCTTTTTGATGAATGTTAAAGTTATCTCCAAATCTCTGCTATTGCTAATAATACTGTAGCGTATAAATGTGCACATACTTCATTTAACACCCATGCAAAAAGATCAGGGAAAATGCATTTATCACGATACCATTTGTACAAAAAATAAGATTATATAAATAGGATTATATATCTACATTGGCTGACAAGTTGTAATAATTCCTTGGAAATATGAACAAAAACTGTGTGTTTTGGGGGAATGCTGGGAGCTGAATGGCAGGAGAACAAGGTGGGAAGGAGGTTTTTCTGTTAACTTTTTTTATGTTTCATTATTTAAATCATGTGATTCTGCAACAGCGCCACATAGCTATCTTGGAAAGTCTGTAATAGGAATCACATTCTGTTAAGGACAAGTTTTAGATGAATTCACAAGGGGTCATCTTTGTAAAGGGATTGTTAAGTGCATCTTAGTGCCCCACCTGGCTCATGGCATCACCATCAGCGTCAATTCCCATGAGTTTTCTTCCCCATGTAGTCCATTGGCTATAGATTGAATTATCCTCCTTTTCTTTCAACTCAAAGAATATCAGAAATATGAGGAGACCTCCAAAAGTTCATGGGGAAAAAAGGAATTAAAAAGTAAGTTTGCTTTGGTGCAGAAATTCTTGAAATCCGTGCAGTTTTTTCATAATATACATTTTTATGAAGTTTTGGGAGATCTGTATTTATAATATACTATTTCCAAATTTGTCTACACCAAGATAAACTTTCTTTTAACTCCATTTTCCACAAACTTTTTGAAGTCCTCTTGTATAAGTTAACACACACTTCCTAATGAATTGCATTAAGAAATGTAAGGGCTGGCATTCTTGGACAATAGGTTAAACCATGCTTGCAATGCCAGCATCCCATATCAGAGTGCCATTTTGAGGCCCAGCTTCTCTGCTTACGATCCAGCTCTCTGGTAATGTGCCTGGGAAAGTATCAGAGGATGACTCAAGTACTTGGGTCCTTGACACCCAGATAGGAGATCTGGATGTAGTGCCACGCTCCTGACTTCTGGCCCAGACAAATCCCAGTCACAGCTCCAGTTCCAGCTGCTGCAAATGTTTGGGGCATGAACCAATACACGGAAGATTCTCTCTCTCTCTCCCTCTCTCTCTCTCTCTCTCTTGTTCTGTCACTCTGCTTTTCAAATAAATATTTTTTAAAAATATATAATTAATAGAAAATATCTTCTATCACACATATATCCAACATGATGCAAAGAGATGAGTAAGGCTACGGCAAACTCCTGGACAGCTGTGGTTTACAAAGCCCCATTCATTTGGTCCACGTGTAAGATCCACCCACACACTGTCTAGGCCTCCAGCCTCAGAGGTCCCCTGGGGTGGAGCCTTCTGAAGCTGCTCTCACTTCAGTCCTCTTCTCTGTGAACAGCCAACCTTCTCCCTCGATTTGGACTTTCCAGAAATGTGAGTCTCAGCCACTGTATTCTGTGCCACTTTGCTGGTTTTTCTCTTACCCATGCTCCATCTTCAACAAGCCATTTTTTTTTTCTTTTTTCTTTTTGACAGGCAGAGTGGACAGTGAGAGAGAGAGACAGAGAGAAAGGTCTTCCTTTGCCATTGGTTCACCCTCCAATGGCCACCGCTGCAGCCGGCGCACCGCGCTGATCCGATGGCAGGAGCCAGGAGCCAGGTGCTTTTCCTGGTCTCCCATGGGGTGCAGGGCCCAAGCACCTGGGCCATCCTCCACTGCACTCCCTGGCCATAGCAGAGAGCTGGCCTGGAAGAGGGGCAACCGGGACAGAATCCGGCGCCCCGACCGGGACTAGAACCCGATGTGCCGGCGCCGCAAGGTGGAGGATTAGCCTATTGAGCCACGGCGCCGGCCAGAAAGGTCTTCCTTTTGCCATTGGTTCACCCTCCAATGGCTGCCGCGGCCGGCGCACCGCGCTGATCCGATGGCAGGAGCCAGGTACTTATCCTGGTCTCCCATGGAGTGCAGGGCCCAAGCACTTGGGCCATCCTCCACTGCACTCCCTGGCCACAGCAGAGAGCTGGCCTGGAAGAGGGGCAACCGGGACAGAATCAGGCGCCCCGACCGGGACTAGAACCCGATGTGCCGGCGCCGCAAGGCGGAGGATTAGCCCTGTGAGCCGCGGCGCCAGCCTAACAAGCCATTCTAGAATCAGTAGAGGGTGTTGGAAAATACAGCTCACTAAGGTTCTTTGATCTTTTTCTCCTTCCTCTTGATCCCGCCCCCCTTCTCCTAAGAGCCCTCCTCACAACAGTTGGGTCCCCAGGAGCTCTCCAGCCCCTCAGGGCTATAACTCTCTCTGTCCACATCACCATTGTATTACATGTGACTTTATTACATGTTGCATTGTATTACATCATACTAGAGTATTGCTTTTTAGAATTCAAGCAGAAAGTTAAAAAGTCATCACTCTAGCCGGATGTGACAATGGTTCAAGTTTCCCTGGCATTACACATAATCATACGGTGAATCAGGGGAGATAACTTTGTGTTTAATACACCCATGTGTTATAGGTTGGGTTATGCCTCCCTGAAAGATGTTTTCATCCTACCCACCCCGTCTCAATCTGTGTATGAGGTCTTATTTAGAAACCGGGCTTTTGAAGACGTCATTGGGTTATAATGAGTTCACGCTGGTTGAGGGCGGGCCCTAATCCAATGGCGGCTGACTTTATAATAGGATGACAGATTGTCCACAGGCAAACCCAGAAGGAAGATGGCCATGTGAATGGCCGGGGCAGAGGCCGGGGCGAGGCTGCCAGCAGCTGGAAGAGACAAGGATTCCGCCCTACAGGCTTTGGGGAAGAGTGACATGCTGACTCATGACTGGTAGCCTCTAAACTGGAAGAGAATAAAATTCCAACTACCACTACCCTGTATTACCACCCCTCAACCCACGGGGTTCTATTCCTAGGCCCCCAGAGAATACCTGAAACCAGGGGAAGTGAAGCACTCCATATAAGTGCACTTTTAAAAGTTCACAGAAAATGGAATTACAAGAAACATTTAATAGGGCACACAAAAAGATTTTACATTTGTGCATGGTTTTTCAGTCTGCATTGTCTTATGTACTTTCTGAAGAAGCTTCATGCATACGTATGATAGAGTTTAACTTATAAATTAGGCATAGTGAGAGATTAACAATAATAAAATAGAACACCTGGAACTATGCCATAATGACAGTCAGGTGAATGTTCTTGCTCTTTCAAAATACTTCGTGGGGCCAGCATTTTGGCACAGTGGGTTAAAGCCCCAGTCTGCAGTGCCAGTATCCCATATGGGCATGCGTTCAAGTCCCGGCTGCTCCAGTTCCAAACCAGCTCTCTGCTATGGCCTGGGAAAGCAGTAGAAGACAGCACAGGTGCTTGGGCCCCTGCACCCACATGGGAGACCCAGAAGAAGCTCCTGGCTTCAGATAGGCACAGCTCCAGCCATTGTGGCCATGCGGGAAGTGAACCAGGGGATGGAGGATCTCTCTATTTCTCTCTCTCTGCCTCTGACTCTCTGTAACTCTGCCTTTCAAATAAATAAATCTTAAAAAAAATATTTTCTTGTCCTGCACCATAATGGGCTGTGGGGTAACCAAACAGGTGGATAAAAGGGGACTACTGTACCAGGTATGGCAGGGGAGCTTCCAAACAGTTTGTGGAAAATATGGGATTAAAAGATGTTAATTTTGACGAAAAAAATTTGAAACCTATAGATAGTTTCTTCATCAGATGCATTTCAGTGAACTCTGGGGAGATGCCTTGGATTTGTTCATTTCTAAACATGTTCAGCCCGTCTGTTCCCTTCACACAATCCGTGCCAAAGCAGAATGCCCTTCCAGCATGCCAGAGAGGCTGTTTGCTGCCACCACAGGGGACTGCAGCGCGCTGTGCCCTGGGGTCTCAGGCCGAGGGGCTGGGCCACGCCGCCTGGCTGCCAACATTGGCGGTAAGCGTTTCAGAGCCTCGGCACTGAACCGGGCATGGGGAAGCTCCCGGGATGCACAGGAGACCAGAAGTCTGGCTCCATGGAGTCATTTTGCACATAATCCCCCACATTCAAAGGGCTTCCCAGTCCTGTCTCGCTCTGGCTACCGGCATTTGGAAAACACATCTTCCTTTGCCTCCCTCCACCTCATCACACAGGGACGCAAACCCATTAGCTTGGGCGGCCCCAGAGTCCCTTGAGCTGTCCACTGCCTACTGGCAGGAGAGGCCCATTTTCAAAGCCAGTCGCCTGCAGAGCACCTGGAGGACCAATTTGGCCGGTTCTGCCGTCAGATTTCCTTTCAGGTGATCATGGATTTGGCAGTGGGGCACTTGGCTAATCCTCAAAGAACACAAATCAAAACGCCCCGTTCTCCCGCCCCGTAATTACGTTATCCAGTTACTCCCATGAGCCGGTGATAAAAGGAAATCTACTGAGTGGGTGCTCAACAGGTGGCCTTAGATGGTTTAAATTGCCACTTGAGGCAGGGCTGATGAAAGGGGTCTGTGCAGGTGTGACTTAGGCGGACGAAGACAGGACACACTCGCCCAGGATGGGGCGGCTCCCAGCGCGCACGCCCCGTGGTAGAGGATTGAACAAGTATCTTGCCTGTGGCTCACCTTTGGTTACTGACCCAGTGGCTGAGGCAAAGCCTGGACCAGTGTCAGGGCTGGGGCTGCAGCTGTGGGGGGAGCTGAGGACCTTGCACAACCTGCCCTGGGACCACGGTCTGGTCTATTTCATTACCATTCTGACGAGACTCAACAGAGCATCTTCCAGTTGCCTTACAATGTAAAAAGGATCAACTCATCTAGGGTTTAATCTTTGAGATATTGTTCCAGCCGACTGGTGCTACTCTTTAGCATC